ATCAGCAGCTCTGCCGGGTTCTTGTTTGTTGTTGTGTTCGGGGTTATGTGTTGTATGAATAGCATCCTGTTGATTTTGTCCTGTATTTCCCCGGTTTCGATTTTTTGAATTGTCTTTTTTGTGAACTGGACCATTTTTTCCACCCTTCCATTCACCGCCAGGTGAGCCGGTGCTGTCAACGCGTACCGAATCCCCCATTCTGCTAGGAATCTTTCGAAGGGTAGTGCGGTGAACTGGGGCCCGTTGTCCGATACGATGACATCTGGGAGGCCGTGGGTTGCGAATAGTTTGCTGAGCTCCTTGATGACGGCTTCTGTGGTGGTTGTTCTCATGTTGCTTACCTCCAGCCAGTTGGAGTAAGCGTCTACCGTCACCAGGAAGGTGTGTCCTTTGGTGGGTCCCGTGAAATCTATGTGAATCTGGGACCATGGCCCTCTGGGGGTTTCCCATTCTAGGACTGGGGCGGCGGGGGGGCTTGGTCTGGATTCTTGGCACTGCTTGCACGATGCCACCCAGGCTTCAATTTCTTTGTCCATCCCTGGCCACCAGACGTGACTTCTGGCCAGGGCTTTTGTTCTAACAATGCCAGGGTGCCCTTCGTGCAGCATGTCCAAGACTCTTTTCTGTAGCTTTTCCGGGATTATGACTCTGTCCCCCCACAGTAAACAGCCCTTTTGTGTGAAAAGTTCTGCTTGGTGGCTCTGGAAGGTTTTGAATTGTTCATCATCGTCTTTTTCCGGCCACCCTTTCTCCACCCATCTTAGAACCCGCACCAGACGTTTGTCTTTATTTGTTGCCAGAGCAATGTCTGACACGGTTAGGGGGAGATTGGGTAAAGTCTCTATGCTCAGGGTGGACATGGTGGGTGCTGGGTCAGCGTCCAGGTCAGGCAGCGGTGTGCGGCTCAATGCATCTGCATGCGGGATTGACTTACCGGGGCGATGGTCCAGCCGGTAATTGTAGGCGGCGAGGAATTCGGACCACCTCGTCATCCTCGGGGATAGGATGTTCGGGGTGGCCCTGTCCCCCGGCAGTATTCCGAGCAGCGGTTTGTGGTCTGTGGTGATGGAAAAAGTCCTGCCATAAAGGTACTCGTGGAACTTCTTTACGGCTGCGATGATTGCCAGGGCCTCTTTGTCTAACTGGCTGTAATTCCTTTCCAGTTTTGAGAGAGTCCTTGAAAAAAAGGCGATGGGTGCTTCTTTTCCATCAGCGAGGGTGTGGCTGAGGACGGCCCCGACGCCAAAAGGGGATGCATCGCACGTTAGGGTGAGGGGTAGTGTCTCGCTGTATTGAATAAGAACAGCGTCCGATGTGAGCAGGTCTTTTGTTCTTGCCCCCCCCCCCCCAGGGGGGGGGGGGGGGGCTGCACTACTGGGACGGGGTAGGCGCTTTGTTGCAGCGCGCGATTGAGGGTGGCCTTATAGTCACCACAAATTCTCACTGAGCCGTCTGGTTTTACTGGGGTGACTATAGGGGTCTCCCACCTGGCATGGTCTGTTGGCTCGAGTACTCCTTGTTCGATGAGCTTATTTAATTGCTCATCGATTTTGGGCCTGAGTGCAAAGGGTACTCGCTGGGGTTTGAGGCAGATTGGGGCGATGGCAGAATCTAGGCTGAAGGTTATCAGGGGCCCTCGGTACTTGCCTAGGCTGCTGTCGAAGACCTCTTGGAAATCCCGCGTGAGCTGCTCCTCCCAGTCCTCCTCGGCGACGTGGTTGGTGCCGGTCACCTCTATTCCCAACGGCGCGAAACATTAGAGTCCCAAAAGGCTGGGGCGGTCCTTCTCGATGATGGTCAGGGGGAGTATCTCAGTGCGCCCCTTGAACGTGACTTTGAAGTGTCCAATTCCTACCACGGGGATGCGGTTCCCCTGGTAGTCCTTGAGGATGAGTTTCTGGCTTTCCAGTTCGCGCCGATGTATGGTTGGCACTAGACGTTTGATTTCCCGCCATGCGACCATGGATAGGTAGGACCAGGAGTCCACTTCCGTTTTGCAGGGGCGGTCCTCAATGGCCACCTCCACATGGATCTTTTGGCCATCCCAGTTGGACGAATGGCCGATGACGACCGTCTGGTGGGTTTCCTCACGTTGCCAGGCCTCGTTGAAACACCTGTTCCTTCCCTCCCGACTCCATCGGCTCTCGGTGTTTTGGTCTCGGTTCCTCGGGGGCGGTGCCGTCTCATCTCCGCGGGCTGCAGTCTCGATGCCGGGGGCTGTAGTTCCTTTTAAAATGGCACACCTTGGCGATGTGGCCCCGTTTGTCGCAGTGCCAGCATATCGTGTCGAAAAACCGGCATTCTGGCATTCGCGCTCCGTCTGCAGCCGGTGGATGTCTTCCTCATCGTCCTCGGAGTTGGTGGGGGAGTCAAGGTCGCCGTGGTGCGTGGAGGTGGTCGTTCGGCGGTTGGCCTCGGGCTGCCTCTTGGGAGTAGGGGTCCTCTCGGTCATGGCTGGGCGATCTGCGGTGCTCGCTTGCCGCATCTGGGCCACTGATCTCCTGGTTGCTTCTGCTGTGGTGGCCTCGGTGAGGGCGTCGGTGAGGGATATGTCGCCCCTTGCCATGAGCCGGCTCTGCAGGACGGGGTCTTTGAGGCTGAGGATGACGCGGTCTCGCAGGGCTTCGTCGAGGTCGGTGAACCCGCACAGGCCCCCAAGGTCCCGTAGATCAGCCATGAAGTCGCTGATGCTCTCGCCCTCTTTTTGATCTCGCCAGTAGAAGTCGTGTCGGTGGATGAGGGTGGGCACGGCGGGCGCGTAGTGACTTCGCAGGAGGGGTTCGAGATCGGCCCAGTCCATCGCTTTCACGTCAAGGGGTTTGGCGAGGGCTTTCGCCATCTTAAACACTGCGGGCCCACAGTGGGTCAGGAAAACGGCCCTTTTCTTCTGCCCATTAGCGTCTTTGAGATTGCTGCTCTCCAAGAACATGAGGAATCTATCTATGTAGGATTCCCAGTCCTCAGCAGCTTGGTTGAAAGGTGCGGGTGGCGCGGTGCCTCTGGCCATGTTGCCAGTCGCTGTTCCGCGTGCCACGTGCAATGTGGGTCTTGCTTCCCGTCCTCGTCGCCAGTGTAGTATCGGCTGATACTCACAAAAGACGCGAGGCAGTGTGTTGGGTATAACAATGATACACCAACTAAGTTTGGGTGAATAAATA